TGTCAGTGTCCGTGCTCACGCTGAGCTGCATTGCCTTGGATCGGTGGTACGCGATCTGTCACCCTCTGATGTTTAAGAGCACGGCCAAGCGGGCCCGGAACAGCATCGTCATCATCTGGGTCGTCTCCTGCGTCATCATGATCCCTCAGGCCATCGTCATGGAGTGCAGCACCATGCTCCCGGGACTGGCCAATAAAACCACCCTCTTTACAGTCTGTGATGAGCGCTGGGGCGGTAAGTCCAAGCTCACATTTACTTGACGGCTGCAAATGGAAAAGTTGAAGGGCGTGACCCATGTAAAGCCGGCCTTTGTGTATTTTATTGGCATTTGTTAAGATAGTTTTGCAAATGCATGAAAACCAAGTTGAAACTAAAAGCCATTTCACAGAGTACTTCCACCCGACTCAGTCCTTTAGAGATATTATGCACAACTGGAGCAGCTTTCATCTTGGTCAACTGGAAGGAAGAATTTATTCCACAATTCAGATTTGGTTATGATAGTTTTTCTTAAATTCTCTAAAACAAAAAGGGCTCCTTTATAAGCATCCAAGTATATATTCTGGAATGCATTTTATAACATGGTATAACATTATATTGCCTCAGGTGTCAGATTCCCCAGTGGGCTTCAAATACAACTGGATTTTTCACTTTAAACCTTTCCAGCCTGGGAATATGATTGCCCTGCCTGTGGACCTATGCTGTTTTCTGAGTCAAATTAGCTAAATACACATTCTCTATTCACAGCATGTGAAACTGCTGCATTCTTATCACTGGCATAATTATTTTCTGATATAAGAACTATATTTAGAAAGGGGGTGGGAAGGGATAAATTTGGGAATTGGAGATTTGTAAATGTTAGCCACCATATATAAAAATAGATAAAAAGCAAATTTCTTCTGGATAGCACAGGGGACTATATTCAATATCTTATAATAACCTTTAATGAAAAAGAAAAAGAAACTGAATATATGTATGTATATGCATGACTGGGACATTGTGCTGGACACCAGAAATTGACACATTGTAACTGACTGCACTTCAATTAAAAAAAAATTAATGAGGCATCAAAATCAAATAAAGAAAAAGAAGTATGTTTACCATGAATTCTTTTTGGTTTCCCATCTGATCTATGTTCAGTAGTTAAATTTAAACAAGCAGAATTTTGGAGGCCTTATGCGCCTTTGGTTCAAATTTCTCAACGACGTCTTTGAGGTTTTTCTGTAACAGTGGAAACACTTATACCCATGCCTGGTGATGCATGAATCTGGACACAGCAAAGAATGAAAGGAAATAAAATAATCCTGCATTTCAGCATATCAAGCACTGGTTACAAAATTAACACATGAAATTTAAATAAAACAATCTGCTGATTTCTGTTAATGATATTACAGTGGCTCATATTTAGGGACTGTAAACACTAGGAAAGTGTTTTTGTTTGTTTGTTTGTTTAATTAGAAAGATGTCTCAACAGAAGCAGTATACTAGAAGGATTGCTTATAGATCGGGTATTTTCAAGTGTTTGAATCTTTGAATTTATGGTATTTTGGTATTTTTATTAGAACTCTGAAAAGAGGAAAAGTCAGGAATGGAACACTCAGGCATGCGTTTTCTGCAGCAAGAAGAGATTTAAAAGACACTGGAATTATTCCATACATTATCCAAAGACCTGTAATTTCATTATTTGCTTTGTCTGTTACCCCAAAATATTAATGCCCCTTTCTGAAATTGAGATCTACCTTTCTTTCCCTTCCTTTCTAACACTGTAATTCTTTTGCTGTATTTTTTTCTGGATCCTCCTCAGTTTTTCCCAAGTTTCCCCACTAACACTGCAGACAAAAACAAAATGAATGGAAAGTCCCCAAATGATAGAAATATTTCTTAAATGTCTTTAGTCCCATTTATTTAATGTTCAAACAACATCTTGAGGACTTAGGCTATGCCAGGAATTGTCCCAACCTGGAGAAAAATAGACTGCCTAAGGGAACACATTGTATACAGTGAGGCTGAAAGGCAAATAAATAAAGGTTTCTAGTGTGATTAGCATTTTAATACACTTATATACAAAGCGTGAAGAACACAAATTAGAGGGCAGACTCAGTCCTGGCCAAACTTGAACAGACGTTTACAAGGAGCTGCTAACATTTCGGCAAAGCATTAAAGATAAGTGACATGCTGGAGGGTAAGAGCTCAGTGGTGAAGCGCGTGCCTCGCATGCATGAGGTCCTGGGCTCAATCCCCAGTACCTCCACGAAATACACAAACCTATTTACCTCCCTCCACCAAAAAAGCAAAGTTTAAAGATGAGCAGGAAGAAGCTCATTGAGCAGTTCATTTACTATGGTCCCTTGGAAGGAATTTGCTTTGCCTTTCAATGTGACTGTGTCTTATTGTTTAAATATCTCAATTGTTTTTCAATTAACAAAGATTTAAAAAATCTGGAGATTCACTAGCATGAGTGTAATTCTCCGTCAATGTATGATTTAATAATTTGGCCTATTAAATGACTCTAAGTTACCTAATAAATAAATAAATAAATAAATAAATAAATAAATAAATAAATAATGAGCAGGGATTTTCCAGACAAGGAAGAGGGAAAAAGGGTGTCCTAGGAAGCAAGAAAACCCACACAATGGACACCATCCCTCGAAGAAGAAAGGAAGAGGGTCCAAACTTGTAGTTTCTGGAATGTAGACGACTTAAAGAATTGTGTTTGTGAAAAGGTGGGCTGGGGACCAATTGTGAGATGTCTCTTAAACAATTCGTATGCAATGAATTATATTCGGAAAACAGCCTAAACATCTCTTGACCGGAATGCTTTAGTTCATCATCATGAAACCGAACCATAAATTAAACTATTTGCTCAACATTATTAGGCAAACATGCACATTTAAATCTAAGCTTCGAACTCATAAATTGGGTTTCTTTAAGTTTATGGATATGGTAATTAGATTAAAATACCCACATATTATTCAACTGTGAATTTTCTCTAAAGCATTTTGGTAACTAGTTTCACTTATAATTTTGTGGATTACTTTTATAAACTCGTCCCCCGCCACCCTGCTTTTTCTTTTTCTTTTTTTTTTTTTTTTTTTGGCATTGACCTGAATAATCAAGTAGCTTTAACCCCTGTGAACAAAAGGGTTGTAGAGCTGGGAATCCTGTCAGTTATCATAATTAAGTAAATAGCCACATCATTTTCTAATGACTTTTGAGCAATAGATATAAATATATAAAACTCATTTCAACCTCTCACATTTTATTAGCTAGCTATAGAAGGGATTTTTTTCCTTAAAGAAATAAGCAATTAGTGTCAAAGACCTAAAAATTTAAACCCAGTCTTTAGAGATCATTTAGGAAAAGTATTTGAAAGCCTATAATTAACTTCAAATGATTTTGAAGGCTAAGATAAGTGATACTGAATTGAGTTGATCATCCACAAAATCAAACGATGAAATCTATGAAATTTTCTGTTCCTGTCTTAAAAGAAATGTTAATAACAATGTTTTCAAGAAGAATATAAAAAACTCAAAGCAAATTTTTATTCTGATCATTAGATATTAAGTTTATTATAATGATTTTTACATGGCATAAGCTTTGTTAATGTAAGCTATTTATAAGTCTATGTTTAACTTAAAATGTTAAAGCTTGAACACATGTATGACAGTCAGAACCTAAAATCACCATAAGAAATTGTATTTTACAGGGTCAGCTCTTTAAAGTTCAACCATCGTGAAAGTCAAAATACCCTTTAACCCAATTTTTAAAAATTTGTTGTGGAATAACTTTTATTTGAGATTGACTCATGGATTGTGTTTCTTATATTTATCCTAAGTTAAATCAATAATGTAGTTATAAAAGCCGACTGAGATAGCATCTTTGTCCTGCATCCTATAACCTCACCACGTGGAAAGTGTCAGGAAAGCATGTGGTCACTTGATCCATATCTATCAAGTCATTTTGGGGAAAGTCTTGGAAATGTGGCTCACTCACAGTGCAAACAACTCAGAACTCTATCTTGCTGAAAATATTACCATAGATATGTAGTCTTGTATGGATTCATTGTTTCTGCAACTCATGATGTTCATCATTGCCAATGGCGTGTCCAAAAAAAAGACCACAAGCCATTAACTCTTGGCAGATACACTTGACACTCAGAAACAAATAAAATGTGTTAGAATTTATTGTAATGGTCTTTTAAAACCTGCCTTTGGATATGTTCATTCTTGGCTCTGGTCGCATCAGTTCACACTTCTGAAATTTTAAAATTCCTCCAGAATTATATCCATGCTTTCTGGATTGCTTGGTTTGTAAATGCATAGTTTCACAGGATGGAGCCTATTGGAAGAAAATGACTTCATTTTGTGCTCAATCCAAGATCTAAGTCTTACTATTCATTTATCCAGCTTTTAAAGTGCACATACTGTTTGTTGAACATTGTTTTGCACACTGGGGATTTATAATCTCTTTCCCTTTTTGCATTTTAATGCCAAATTATCCTCTGGTGGTCTGAAAAAAAAATGATAATTCTGGAACCCTTCTTTAATTTCAATAATAATTATGGTATCTGGCCTACTATGAGATTCAGAAAGTATACAAATAAGTGTGTGTATTAATAGAAACATTTATTGAAAACATTTATTAAGGAGAAGATAATAAAATATATTAAAGATTCAAATGAACTTTAATGGATACCTAAACTTTGAAAAGTCAATCCAAATTAAATACCTGGGAACTTATATTTAATTTACCTGTCTGTTGAATCCCTGATAGGTGTGACAAGGGGAAAATATTTGCCATTTTTAGAAAATTATATTAACATGTTGGCTCAGTGATGGACCTTAACTTATCTGAGATACTGTTTTTTTTTAATCTAATATAGGGCATTATTGTTTAATCTTTGATTTCAAAGACTAAGGGAAGACCAGCATTTGTTCCTTATTTGTTGGTTCGATATATATACGAGGATTTATTCAGATTATGCCTGTTTATCAGTTGGGTGGAGACACCAATCGTTAATGGCTGCCAAGCATTAAAATGTTTTCTATTTGAGGGAATGCTTAAGTGAACAAATTTCATGTCGCTACTTGCTAGGCTCCATATGAATGTCTTAAAATATATTGAAGATATTGCTTATCAAGTGGAGAGAATTCAAAAGTTTCAACCCATACAATTTAAACTTTCAGCGGTGTTTCTGGATTTTCAGTTAGCTTAGACTCTCAGCATGAAATGAAGAACTTAAAACTATCATGTTTCCCCAATTATCTATAATAATCTCTTCATTAGAACAACCTATCCTCATGCATAGCGTATATTATCTACCCTGATCTATCCCCAAATAGCCCATATTTTGCTTGATCAACTGTTCTCTTTGCTGGTGTTCATGATCACAAGATGCATTTACTAGCCAATGACATATTTTCCCAACTATTTATAAATATACCCATTGCAGGATGAGCTTTCTTTCCCATCTGTTTAAAACTCCAGATTATCACCACAGAGATGGTATCCACAGCTATAGAAAAAAAAAAATGACCTATCAAATCTCCCTTCCTTCACTCACTCAATTTAGACTGTTGCAGACATCAGGAACTCACAGATATGCAAGCTTCAAAGGTATATTTTTATGTGGGAAGCTTAGGGAACAGTTTCTTCAAAACAAATAAAAGTTCAAAGCCACTCGGGTGTCTGGGAAGTGCGGAGGTCTCCCTCTCCGGCTCCTTTGAAATCGGCTCCCCGACGCTGAACAGGCTGCAGGCACTTCAAAGGGAAGGGGTGAGTGTCATTCCTCCGGGCAGGCGGCTCAGATTCTCACTTTTTGTGTAACCAGTCTGTTTTATAGGATAAACTTGAAAGAAAGATAGAAACTGATGAGTTAGGTGTGAGCTAAAAATGACACCTCAAATTGGTCTCTAAGACTTCCCAGCAGCATGTGCACCCTGCGGTCCCCGCTAAAGATAGTAGTGGAGAGAAGCGTCTATCTGAGAAAAAAGACCAAGTTTTAGGAGTAAGAGTAAGGAGGATATTATTTAAACCCTCGAAGACGAGTCTACGAAATCAAGATCCTAGAGGATATTTAACTCATAGATATGTTTAAAGGACATTCAGTAAGAATTGAACGAATGCTCAATACATGTTATCAATTATTGTGGTCATCATCATAATTATCCTTGGTTAATCCTGAGTATAAGTTGCTTTTACCACGGGTGGTCTCATCACTGAGTCTTCGTGCCTCTACACACACTTTCTAAAGTAACAAAAAGAATAAAATGCTTGAAGTGATAACAGTGTAGAACCAACCCCAATGCCAACATCAGAGGCAAAATAAGTTGTGTAGTCTTTAAAATAAGAACCCTTTGTTGTATTAGCCTTCACTTAGAATTGTATTTAATTATTGCATTCAGTATCCACAGACTCCATCTAGAATATATTGTTTCCTGTTTTATATTTAAGTAAATGTAACTGGATCATTGTAATATATTCAAATACTATTATAAGGGAAATCTCCCTTATGTTAAAGTCAGCAATATATATGTTTTAGAAAAGCTAAAAATTAATATGCAGCCATAATCCCACTCAACAGATTGACTTGTTAATAAAAGTGCAAATCTGTGATATGTTTCACCCGTATACATAGAATTAATGATCAATTAAAAACATCACTACAATCCTAGACCCCCTTATGCCTGATAAGTAAGATGGATATCAAAAAAAGAACCCATATTGGTTTGAAATCAATTTTAAAGAACCCTAAAAATCTCATTTTTATTAAAAGTACATGCCTACATACATTAACACACATAGACAACTTAATTAAAGAGGAATTTTGTATATGTTCCAGTAAGTCAACAAAAAGAATCACTATCAAAAGTTTGCTGTATTAATTTTTTTCCCAAATTTTCCATATTTGTATTTGGAACTACAACTGGAGAGAAATAAGAAGGAAGCAACTTAGTTCGCAGTCTCTTCCGGTTTTAACAAATTGCTTTAGCAATTAAGTTTTGATTGAGTAATGTCTCTTCTTGTAAATCCAAGATTAGAGCAGTCCAAGTTAATTTTTATTCATTAGCCAGATGTAATCAAGACAAAAAAGGGCTTTTTGATAAATGAACACTTGACTTTGGATAGACTGTGATAGCACAAATTAAGAAATGGCTAATTGTTATTCCTCTCTGAGTATTTTAAATGAAATTAAGATGTATTTAGTACTTAAATGTAAGTAGTTAATATTATAAGTTATTTTTCCTTTTGTGTACATAACATGCCAGTGAAATCATAGACAAGGTAAATGTGGATTTTAAAGGAAAAACATTGACAGATGTACCTTTTAAAAAAAAAAAAACCTATGAATTATAAGATTTTATTGTTTTGACTTCCATTCCAGGTGAAATTTACCCCAAAATGTATCACATTGGTTTCTTCCTGGTGACATACATGGCACCGCTGTGTCTCATGGTGTTGGCTTATCTGCAAATATTTCGTAAACTCTGGTGCCGACAGGTAAGTAATTGCAAATAATTTTCACGTGTTTTCTTTAGAAAGTCCTTAAAAACAAAATTTAAGAGTGAATTGAACCAACATAGTGTGCTTAGCAAAGGTGCTTTCTTCTCAAACATGAGAATATGTCTAGGCATTTTTTAAGGTGATATTTAGGGTATGCATTTTATAAACTGCCTTAATAACTATATTTTAAACCTCTGTGATTAATTGACTTGATTTTTGCCTAGGAATAATATTATGAATTTTACTTTTTATGAGAAATAACAAATAGAAATTCCTTTAAAGTTTCTTGAGACTTTGTAAAGGACACCATTATTTCTGATGAGATTTATGTAATACATTTTTATTATATGGGTTATATCTCCAACTTCAAAGATCTTATTTTTTTTTAGAATTATAGAAGAATTGGGCAGAATTGAGAATTTTAAGAATTGCTTATCATGTTGATTTAAAAGTACTGAAATTTGTTAGGTAATTTTGCTATGTCAGTGGATGTATGTATGCACTCAGTTATTCATTCATTAAACATTTATATTTCTTTTGCATGCATACCTGATAAAAAGCTAAAAGCTCCAGTCTGTGTCACTGATGCATTTATAGTCTAGAGGAAAGAGTCAGTTGCAATGTGAAAATCACCTTGATAAATATACGCACAGGAGATCAGAGAACAGCTTAGTGGAGGCGGATCTAATTCAGAGCACATAACATTTAAGCTGAACCTTGGTGATTCAAACGAAATCACCAACAAACAGATGTAGTGGTTTATAAAGGTACAGACAAAGAATATAACTCAGTCTCTTGTACTTGTAAATTGTATCTTAAAATGCCACATTTCTCAGAAATGTATCTCTCTCTTTTCCTAAACTTACCGCCAGTATTTTGAGCTTATCAGGTTTGTGGAAAGCCATGACTTTAAATCTGTTTGCTCTGACATATTTTATCCAACGGAAAGAATTTACTGAGCCACTTCACTCATTAAAAGGATTTCATCAACCTTTTATTTGGTCTTTGAGAATGAGTCTTAATTTGGGTCTTTTTCAACCCTTGCTACTCAAAGCCATTTTCAAGATCATCTTTTACTCATTACATACGAGCAGCAGCTGCATTTTCAACCCTGTTTGTCTCATAATTCCCAATTTTCTCTTTTCTTCTATTTTTTTAAGGAGGTTACTTCTTTTATGACCTTATAAATGCAACCAGTGCCAATGCTTATTAGCATGCATTCCATTCTGCAACGTTTGTAACTAAAATAGTAAATGTGTATCATTGTAGAACATCAGTGGTGATTTCCAGATTCTAGTGATGATTTCAACACTCTCTACCTAGCCATGAAGTCAACTGCATGTATTTTAGGGTGTCTTTTTCTATTGCACCCCACTTCTTGGTAACTATTGTCCTACTGGTCCATTTTTGCCAGATTACTCTGCTATTAAAAACAAAACAAAAAGATGTGATTTGTAGCAACAGTTTCTCTCACTCATGTTCCATGTCAGTGGTGAGGACGGGCTGTGGCTGGGCTCGCCTTGTCCCCTCATTCCAGAACTCAGTCTGAAGTCCAGCGCTTCCTGGAGATGGCATTCTGGGGCCAAATGAAAGAGCGAGAAAGCTGGAAGAAATGAGCAATGCCTCTTCATTCAGACTGGCACATGCTAAGTCTCCTCATTTTTCATTGGCCAAAACTAGTCACATGGTTGAATGTGAATAAATAAAGGTTTCCTTATAAGCTGGGGAGTAGATGGCCAGAAATGACATAATACAGAAGTCAAAAACATAGCCTCAAGGTCCAGATTGTGTGAGTTTCAGTTCTGACACTGTAACTTAATAGATGCATGAATTTGTCAATTACTTAAATTTCTGTGCCTCCCTTTTGTCATATTTAAAGCAGGATTGTGTAGCATCTACCTGACAGGATTGATACACTTATTAGATGGAGACAGTATACATGCCAGCCTTCATCTTATATTCCTCCAGTTAGTATATTCTTAGCACGCATCAGTTGCTCAATTTATACTTTATAAGAAAAAGTTAGTGGAGGAATAAGAGAAAGTGCTGGGAAAGTTTAGACAGAAGAGGACCTAGGGGACTCCATTTGCCCAGTTACTTAGAAAAAAGTGCATAGAAAAACTAGAAGAAAAAAATTCTTCAAGGAGACAAAACACTTATGAGCATGTGGGAATAAAGATATTTTAGACATATATTGATTTTTAGTCTAGAAATATTCAGTTAAAAGCATTCCGTATTTTCATATTTTGACTGGTTAGTGTGCATTAAATAGATGTTTAAATTTGCTTATTCATTGATTTACAGATGACATAACTTTAAAATCCCTTGGTTGTACGTAAATCTGTTGTGTTCATCATAGTATTCCCAACTCTTAACATGTTACCAGGCACAGAAAAGTATTCAAAAAAAATCTTTGTTAAATAATTAGACCATTATCAAACCTCAACCCTTTTACTTCTCCATCTGTCATAGTTCTCCATTTCTCAAATTCTAAAGTAAATTCAAAATTGTATTGCAGGTTTAGAAATAATCCACATTTTGTTTTTGTTTTTGTTTTTTGATGATGAATTGCCCTAGTTAGTTCAAGCCACATGATTTGGAAGATTGGCAGTAAAATGCTTGGGTTGTGAAACCCAAGACATTTACAAAACAGACTGCGATGGAAAATGGCAAGCTCAACTGAGCTCACTGTAGCAGCCCTGATAAAGCAAATTAACCCCAAATGGATGATTATTGCAGAATTCTGTTTGAGCAACTCTCAGGTTCCAACTGTCAGTGTCAGTAAACAGAGTTCCAGGGCACTGCACATGCCACAGGCCAGAGCAAGTGAGCCCTCAGCTGGAGGAACTGTCCTATTTGCTTAAAATTGTGGAGATGCATGGAACCGGTCACATACTTTGAAATTTGTAAGTGTAAGATGGTTAGTGAACAAAGTGTCAGTCCTTGTCTGACTTTCTCAAGCATCTGAAACCTCATTAAAAGAGTTATCCAGTGCTTTGGTCTAATCGATGACTTAAATATTCTTTTTATTTGACAATGTGACTCAGAGAAGTCACTCGGTCTGGAAATGCTAGAAACTCTTCTCTAAAATGCCTCTTTTTAAGACCCACTTAATCTCAGCTCTTGTGCATCTGCTAGCATTTTTTTTTTCAGTTCTAGCCCTCATATAATTTAACACTTCAATCTTAATCATCATGTGAACTCATGTTAATCCAGCTCACAGATATTTACTGAGCACCTATCATACGTCTGGTAGGCCCTATGTGAGAAACTGGGGGTGCAATGTAATTGATACTTGAGTCTGGAACTAAATTTCAATTTTCCGAGGACTAAAACTTTGAAAGAACTTCCTTGTTCTAATTCTTATTGCAGTTCCTTCTACTGCCCTTTATTCTTCAGTATTCTTCAAAAATAACTTAAAAAGTAATTCATATTAGGAGATAACTCAGTCTAATACGAGGAAATAAACAGCAAATTGTAAAATTGCAGGGGCAGAATCAAATGACGGTAACACATATTCTCACAGAGACACAAAGAGCAGCGGTAAAAGTAACTGTGTAGGTAAACATAGAAGTGCATATAAATGTATTTTTGTTTCAAATTCTTTTCTTCTCCTATTTGACTTAAGAAATGATACCATAAAGCAATAATTATAAAACCATATAACTCAATAAAAAAAGTTAAAAAAAAGAAATACTCTTAAAAATTATAAAATCATGAATATTCAGCTTATAATATATAAAGATGTCATTCAAAGGAAAGAGGAGGGAATACATGGAAGCAATGTTTTTGCATGCAATTGAAATTAAGTTGGCATTACTCCAAACGGATTGTTTAAGTTGTTCATTGTAACCCTCAGGGAGACTACTAAGAAAGTAACTCAAAAAGAATGTACAGAAAGAAACAACAGAATTAAAATGGTATACCAGAAAATATTTATTTAACACAAAACAAAGTAGCAGTGGAGAAATAGAGGAAAAAAATAGACCACTATATATAGAAACAAATAGCAAAAGGATAGATGTAAATTATACTTTCTCAATATGTAGTTACACTAAACGTAAATGAACGAAACATCCCAGAGATGGGCGGAATAGACAAAACAAACAACAGTGAAAACCATGATTCAACTGTGTGCTGCCTGCAAAAGACATACCTCATATTTAAAGACACAAATAGATTAAATGTAAAATGATGAATAAAGATCTACTGTGCAAACAGTAAACAAAGGAAAGCCAAAGTAGCCGTACTAATACTAGGTAAAAGAAAATTTATTAAAAAGTGTTACTATAAAGAGGGATATTTCATCATGATAAATCAACCCATCAGGAAGACATACAAATTATAAGCTTATATGTACTTAGGAACTGAAGCCCCAGTACATTAAGCAACAACTAGAAGAATTAGGGGGAGAAATAGACAATTCAATGATAATCACTGAAAACTTCAATACTCATCTTTCAGTAATGGATTGAAAAACTAGGCAGAAGATTAACAATGACTTGAAAAAAAACTATCCACCAACGAGGCTTAACATGTCTATAGAACACTTCTTCGAAAGCAGTAGAATGCACATTAATCTCATGTGTACATGGGGTATTTTCCAGGCTGGATCATATGCTAGGCTATAAATCAAGCCCCGCAGGATGGGTCTCCCAAAACCTTTTTGTATGACTATTATTACTTTTATGTAACTAGGCATATATTAAAATTTTTGCCAACTTCCATGTAAGACTGTATTGAAGCTTATAAATGGAAACTGCATCACAGCGGGAAACATGAGCTTCGCAATCAGACAGACCCGAATGCAAATTCTGGTTTGTCACTTGAACCCTTCTTAATGGCTGCCTGATCATCTATAAAGCAGGATTCACAGTCACCTACTTTTAGGGATGCGTTAATGATGACTGAAGATTGCTCATAGTTCTTAGTGCTCAGTTAATATCAGTGATTTCTATTGATACTAAGCTGACTTCTCTAGACATAAACAAGTTGCCAATGGAAGGGGTCGCATGTCTCCTTACAAGTGCAGGACCAACCACCCTCCATCTGTATTTAGATCACCATCTAAGAGCAAACATGATTATCTTCTTTATGCTTGCAGGGACCAGGGCTGCACTCCCAGTGATGGTTTCTCTTTCTGGGAACTCTTTCTAATGATTGCAGAAGTCATCAGATGCAGGATATTGATTTTTTTTTCCCCCTCAGGGGAAGCACTGAATAATAGATTGCTAAAGTTTAAATGATCTCTCAGAGATCATTTAGGGAATAGTTAAGGGCCATTTAGCAGTCATTAATAGGGTTATTCATGCATGCTAGAGGTCTGGAAATTTCCAACGCCCATTGCAGCTTCTTCTCAAAGTTTTTTTTTTAATTTTGGAGCTTTTTGAACTCTGCTTTTGCAGGTGGGGGGTAATTAGGTTTATTTATTTATTTACTTAAATGGAGGTACCGGGGATGGAACCCAGGACCTCACACACGCTAGGCAGGCACTCTACCACTGAGCTACACCCTCCTCTGCTCAATTACCTTTTAAAATGCCTATTTAAAAACAAATTCACCGAGGAGGAAGGATTCTTAACTGAGGAATTAAGAAGACTGAGTGGGGCCACCATGATGCAGAAAGGTCAGTCCACATGATTCTAAAGAGAAATCATCAGTCAGGTGTTTTTCCATTTCAGGTTTTCATTAATTTCTTCTGCTTCTTTTTGAGAGCGAACAGTTATGTTCAAGAGGAGCACTGGATGCACCCATCTGTGTGGGAATCAAAGTAAAATTCTGCTCGCCCATTAAAGATAATCTAACAGACGTGGATCTTGCGTTGTATAAGGATTCACCCACCATCCATTCTGAGAGCCTGCAGGGACGCATTGGTCTGTCCTGGCTTGCAGCACAGGGCAAAAAAAGCAACAACTGAATAATCCTAATAGAACTAGGACGGCCCTACGGTGTGCCTGTTGGCACATTTTCCTCTTAAAAAAATCACACATGCTGAATCTTACTGTTGTGCTCACTGAGCCCTGTCAATCTTCATGAGTTTATAATTAAGAAAATATTACACTTGGAGGGACTCCCTGCTATTATCAAATCACTTTGCAGAGAAAAGGAAAAGAATAGGTTGGGTCACTGTTGCTACAAATTCCAGCTATTTGAAATGATCATGTTAGACCTCAGGGATCTTCCGTGTTTTGATGTTCATTTTAAAGCAACTTTACAACAGCATATAGCAAATGCCAGACTATTTTACTTTCTCTTTATTTCTTTTATTCAAAGGTTTGCTTTGACCAAACCTGAGAATCAGAAAAAACCTAGTAAAAAGCAATCGGTTGTTGAGTCCTATTTCTCCATCCGGCAGCAGGTGGCAGTATTGATGCACAAAAAATATCCATTCAGGTGCCTGTTAGAATTACGGGTTACCCTGCTCCTTCCGTTTAAACTCCAGGTATCTGAGCTGAATCAGAATCCTAATCAGATAACAGGGTAGTCATCTCTTTTCTGCTCTTCTTCCCCCGTTTTAATTTCTATTTTTGAATTTAAGTTTCGTTTTGTTTTTACAGTAGTTATAGGTTCACAGAAGAATTGAGCGGAAGGTACAGAGAGCTCCCATCTCCACTACCTCCATTCATCAGCAACATCCCCCACCAGAGTGGCTCATTTGTTAAAACTGTTGAAGTTTCACTGACACACGGTCCCTGAAAGTTCATAGTTTACTTTATGGTTCACTCTTGAAGTTGTACCTTCTATGGGTTTGAAGAGCATATTCAAATACATTGTATAGCATATAATGACATGTATCCATCATGACGGCATCATGCAGAGTGTTTCCCTGCCCTGAAACTCCTCTGTGCTCTGCCTGTTCATCCCTCCACCCCATCACCCCTGGCAACCCCTGATAATTTTACCGTCTTCGTAGTTTTACCTTTTCCAGGATATCCTATAGTTGGAATCTCATCGTACGTAGATTTTCAGATTGGCTTCTTTCACTTAGTTGTATGCAGTTAAGTTTCATGTATATTTTCCCACGGCTTCTTAGCTCATTTCTTCTGAGTGTTGAATATTCTTCCATTGTGTGCATGTACAGCCTCTCTTTTTATAAAGAGGTATCTTTTCCGCTTGCAGCTCTCTTTTACCTTGACAAGATGGTGATGTTGCAAGTTTTTTTTCCCCCCACCCAGACTCCTATGTGTCACTCGACTGTATTAGCTCTCCCAGCCTCCCAGACCACAGGTGTCTGGGACACTCTCCTTACCGTGTCCTCCCATTACTCCTCCGAAGTGGACCTTTCCTAAATCAGATAGCAACTAAGGTTCTCTGCTCCTTTCAGATCCCCGGCACGTCCTCTGTAGTTCAGAGGAAATGGAAGCCCCTGCAGCCTGTCTCACAGCCTCGGGGGCCGGGAGCGCAGACCAAGTCCAGGAGTAGCGCCGTGGCCGCTGAAATAAAGCAGATCCGAGCCAGACGGAAAACAGCCCGGATGCTGATGGTTGTGCTTTTGGTGTTTGCAATTTGCTATCTACCAATTAGCATCCTCAATGTGCTAAAGAGGTAAAGTTCGCCTATCACTTGAAAATGAAGAGACCTGCCATTTCTTAAAATCTAAACCATCTGCCCACATAGCTTCTCAGGACAGACAACTTCATGTGTTGTTGTTACCAGCAGGTAAGGCGCACCGCCTTTCAGAGCGTTCAGATGCTAAATGCACTTCTCCACGCAAACTCTCTGTTGAATGGCAGACACAAAACAGATGTTCCCTTAACCTCTTCAAGCTAGTTGCTAAGCCTTAGATGCCGAAAAAGTTCTAATGCTTAAAAACAAAACAACAAAACAAAACCCTTATTTACAGCCTGGAGTCCTTTTTTGATCACAACAAATGGGTTTCTCAAAGACATAGGGAACAGTGACGGAATTTTATCTAAAGGACACAGAGATAAGAATTTTGTTTGCATTCTCATTCGACTTAACAGTGCATCTGTGAGCAAGCACACACAAAAAGGGACCCCTGGTACACACTGTGTTTTGAATGTATAAACAGAAAGAAAGGAAATTCACTTCCTGAAGTCGCTGAATCAAGCTGAGGGGGACCATTAATAAAAATCAGCACACAATTCTTCAGTGAGGGAAGGGACGTTATCTGTAACACTGCAGACACACCAGCGAGTTCAAACAACTGAGCGACCCGAGCAGCCAGTGCAGGGCAGAGGGACACATTTCTGTGGGACACTAGCCAGCCATCTCTACTGGGAAATATCGGAATAGCCGCATATAGACTGGTCCCAAGGTAATCCTAATTCTGTTTATCAGATGCTTCAGACTTAAACTCGGATTGCCCTGATGCAGGGTCAACATCTTATTCCTCACAGCTGGGGACCCCGGCGAGAGGCAGCTTTGGCTGGAATCACACAGACTGAAGGTGGTATTACCAGCTGCAAAGCTTCCTTCTTCTCTTTGGCCCTTGTTCGGGGTTGCTTAACGATGTTTTCAATGGAAAAGAAATCGAAAATGAACTTTTGTCAGCAAGGCTGTTTAGTACAGACACAGTCTAAGATTTGCAGCAGCTTGGGTCCTTGCGATGCATGCCGGCTCACAAGAGAATGAAAATTACTTTGCTTTCCAATATTTTTTCACGATCCCCTTCTTATTTTTCTTGCCCACAGAAATCCCACACAAATGTATTCTAGTTCGCGGCTGGATCATGTTTTTCTGCTCTTAAGAATGTTATAAATGTGCCGTGTTACTGGATAGGTTTTCTCTCTCTTTTTTTTTTTTTTGTACTTCTATTTTATTCAGCCTAAACTCAATGAAAATTGGATTTACTGCTTTCTGGATTACTCATTTGGATTTCCTGCGTCTCCACACTTGCACTTTCCCTTTAGCTTGTTCCTAATACTTACTTGTCCGTAATATTTCTCTATTCTTCTGACTTACAGACCTTCCTTTCCAAGGAAAATAAATGGCTTTCCAAGGAGAAAGTCCATGTTGAATTTAAAATATTTTCATTTTTTTCCCAAGCATTCTGTCTGCTCTTTGTCACAAAATACAATTTAAAAAGTAACCTTGAAATTTGTTTTTTTCTCTTTCCCACACACACGTTTTCTTCAAATGCTTCTCTTTGTGGGCCCTTGCATATTATGTTTGTGTTTTCTTTCTTTTAGAAAAAAAATTCCTAAGTTCTTTTCCTTGAAACTTGATGTTTTCCCTGACCAGTCAAAACCAACTTCCTTAAAGCAGGTCTGATTTATCGAGGATTTCAAAGGTACTAGAGAGAGGATCATAACATATTAATTTTTGTAAAACTCTGGGAGTCCACAGAACATCACTTTATTCTAAAAATGCATTCCTAATCATGGGCACAAATTCCACAATCAATGACAGAACCTCTAGCAGAAAATGCTTTCTAATCCTCAGCCTACAAATGTATTGCATAGTTGCAAGTTGCCTGCTGCGTCTAGTGAACAGAATTTAACAGACAGAATATTTCTAAGCATGGAACAAATCTCTGAAATGGCCTTGAAGGATATAATAATGAAATATTTGTCAGTGTTTAAAACAATAAGTAAAAATATTAAAACTCATGTATTTTAAGGAATTGCCAGAATTTTGCCTACTGAAAACTAGTCCTTCTCTGGGTATAAAGAAGTCCTGGGGGGAGGGTATAGCTCAAGAGGTAGAGCCCATGCTTAGCACGCACGAGGTCCTGGGTTCAATCCCCAGTACCTCCTCTAAAGATGAACAAACTTAATTACCCCTTCCCCACCACAACACAGTAATTAAATAACATAATAATAAGTAAATGAAATGTTTAAAAAGAAGTCCCAGAAGCCAAATTTCAGCAAGGCTGGAAGACTAGCACTAAAGAAACGTAATACTTGATCAATGCACGAATGAAAGTAGGAAGAGGAGCACACGGACTGCAACTTAGGAGTGCTTTGAAAGTGCACACCAAGTGGAATATTAACAAACGCTGCTCAGTTGGGTTTAGAAACAGAATGGAAGAAGGGCGATGGCGAGATGTTCCACTTTTGCATTCTCGTTGCTTTTGTGGTTTGCAAGGGAGATAGCCCCTTCATCTCTGACCTGATTTGGCTTTTGATTTACTAAATTGTGCGGAGGAGGTGCTGTTCGGGTGCTGAAATTATTCTAGCCCCACTGTGTGGTACCATAAACCGGTCCATAGTCAATCCTGTAGCAGAGCAGTGCAGTCAGACAGCTGCCATCAAGGGCTTTGGTCCCCCTTAAATTTAATTATTTAAAAGGGACTTTTGATGTATTCATGTAAGACTGAAAAATTGTGCCGTATACCAGAAATTGACACAACATTGTGAACTGACTATACCTCAGTACAACTGAAAAAAAAAATGTTAAACTGTCGAGATGTGTTAGCCTCAGATTCAAGCACACATTCATATTTTAATGTGATGACTTATCTGAATTCCGATATGTGGCGCAGTGCAAACGATATGGCTTAAATCTAATTTTAATTTTGATGAATAGTTTAAATAGTAAGACAGTTTACAGTTTCTGAGATTCCTCTAGGAATATTAATTGTCTCAAGGAATGGCTATGTGAGCTAAGTCATATGCATCTCTGTTAATTGGTGATATGGAAAAGCATGATATAAATATTTATATATTTTTTAAAAAGGGACTTTTGAGAATCACACTGAATTTCCTGTTACTGTCTTTTCCTGCAGAGTATTTGGGATGTTTACCCATACCGAAGACAGAGAGACTGTGTATGCCTGGTTCACATTTTCACACTGGCTTGTATATGCCAACAGTGCTGCGAACCCAATTATTTATAATTTTCTCAGTGGTGAGTTTTCAACTGTTTCTTCATACAGACCACAATTTTAACCCGGGGTGAGGGATCAGTGACCACAAGGTTTGAACCTTTGAATGATATGAAGAGCTCAGTTCGCATACGATGAGAATTTTTTCCCTAATCTGAGTGATCTTGAGTATTTCCCCCCCACCATGGGATGAAACACACGTTACCTAACTCATCAGAGAAAATTATCTAAGTATTTTTCTCCATAAAATTGAGAAGAAATATCAAAATAGGAGGAAAGTAAAAATTGTGAAAACTAACACAGAATCTCACTAGTCACACATTAAACTTACGATTTACAATAATATAAAGTAATTTTATCTGACAATGAAACAGCCTTGCTTACATCATTTCTTTGCCAACATTTGCAGCCTAATGGAATTGGAACCTTTCCACTCTCGGGTATTTCTCTGTATTTACGTTTCTCTTCTGGGTAACATCTCTTGGGTTTCTTTCAAGATTTCTCACTGATCACAAAAAAACTGTATTTCTCCTAAATAACACAGAAGCGAAATGGCACAAACATACACACACCGGCAACTGAATTAACCCATCTCTGTCGATGGAATCAATATAAGTGTAAAAATCGTTCAACTTACTATTGTTTTATTTACAAATATTTTAGCCAGAGCATCTTTAGAATCGTGCTTTAATTAGCTACATGTTTACATTGTCTTCTCCAACTGGTTGGCTGTTTCTTTTTCATTTCTCTCTCCAAATAGATGGTCATTTGATAGGAAAGAATAAACAATTCGTTTTATTGCATGTTTCATAAATTTTGTGCATTTTCCAACTTCATCTTTGGCCTTCTGGGTTATATAGGTTATGAAAAAAAGATGAACAGCCAGTCAGTTATGCTTTTTAATAACTATTTTTTCCCATCATGGCATATACCTGCTTTATTTCAACTTTCGGTGAATCAGGTGGTGTCTCTGTGAGGTGTGTTTTATATTCAGCTGTTTCTTTCCCTGCCACATTCAACCCCAGTCTCCAAAATAAAGATGCTATTAAAACTGCAATAACTGGAGACCACTGCTCGCCTGCTGTTTGGAGCGAGGAGGGGCCGGGTGGAGCTGTGGCTTGGAAAACAGTGGAAAGTACCTGCCACGGGCGTAGGGAAGACTGAAGCCTTGAGCCTCGCACTGAGTAGGGAAGCCCTGTTAGAGGGTCATAGGGAGCGTGTCGGAAGCGGAAACCACAGAACCAAGTCAAGGTGCTATGATGGGGGTACTGAAAACGAATATATGTATGTCTACGCTTGACTGGGACGTTGAGCTGTACACCAGAGACTGACACGCTGTAACTGACGGTGCTTCAGTTAAAAAGGAAAAAAAAAAAAGTGAGGCAGGAAGGCAGCTGACAATCACTGAGCACTGGTTTTAATCACTCAGTAGCCCAGTTTGGTAAGTAAAGCTTTAGAGGGAAGAAGTGGTGATCCTCAACACTGTCATTTGCCCTTCGAGCCTTAGCAGGTGAGTGTTCCATCTTTATACCTCTCCAATTTCACGTCAATAATTGAAAGACAAGGAAAAACTTCTAAGGGTGTTTGGGTGTTTCTTTTTCTTTTTCTTTTCTTTTCATTCTTTTTTTTTTTTTTTTTTTTTTGGTCATGCCTCACTCAGATTACGCAACTTCAGAAATTTTCAAGCTGATTAATGTGTTTTTTCTAAGGAGTCTGTTGAACTGATTGTGTCAGTAGAACCGTTTCTTCCGAGGGCAGCGCGGGGGTCGTTTCTGTCCCGTGTTGGCTGCGCACCGCGCGGATGTCCTCGTGCTCGAAGTAGTTAGCTGTCTCTGGGCGCAGCGCTGCGGTGCTCGCTCTCGCCGGATTTATCACCAGGCAGTTAAACCAGTGACACTGTAAACTTTACTATAGTTCTCACTAGACGGAAAATACCCGGCATGCATAAATATTTGAGGTTTGCCTCTAAAAAGAGTGAGACAAGCATCAGGCGTGAAAAGCAGCCTCGCTCTTTTCCGGAACCGCCTCATGGTCTTGGGCGTGGACCAGGCTCCCAGGAACGCAATTTCCTCTCCCTGCTTCCCCCACCGTTGCCAAAGGTGGCGTCTCACTGTAACTGTGGCTCAAGGGAGCCCCTCAGGGGTCCCCTATTCGTGATGGGTTAAAACATATTAACGCAGAATTCTTCCTTTCCTTCTCCCTGGTTTGCCAGGAAAATTTCGAGAGGAATTTAAAGCTGCGTTTTCTTGCTGTTGCCTTGGGGTTCACCACCGCCAGGAGGACCGCCTAGCGCGGGGGCGCACCAGCACCGAGAGCCGGAAATCTCTGACCACCCAGATCAGCAACTTTGATAACATATCAAAACTGTCCGAGCACGTCGTGCTGACCAGCATAAGCACCGTCCCAGCCGCCAACGGCGCGGGGCCGCCCCAAAACTGGTAGATGATTTATTCCGCTGACAAGGATGCCTGAATACAACTCTTCTTTTTTTAAACCTCTGTACACAGAAATTTTATTCTCCTAATGATCAGAAGTTGAAATTACTTTGGGGATTTTTTTTTTTTAAGAAAATTATCTATGGCTCTTTGGAAATAAAGTCAGTTTGAAATCATTTCTTACCTTTTGATTTAAATATGTAAGAAGTTTAACCTCCAACTGAATTTATTTGCAGGCTGTTTCACTGTTAGTTTTATGTCTGCTGGTTTGTGTCAGTTAAATGCTGGAACGCTTCCAATTCTAATTAATTTATTAATGTCACCTTCATATTGGTTGGTAAAAGCTATCAAAACTTAGCCATTGGTTTTCTTTTGGCTACGAAAAGAGGTAGCAATGACTAACTCTGGATTAGCAAGAGATGTGTTAGTTGACTTTATAGTTTTAAAAAAAAATCACAAAAGAGTGTCATTTTGGTGTGACATCTAAGAATATATTTATATACAAAGTAGCATATTATATTGGAAAACTCAAAAGCTATCTTTCAAAATATATAAACATATATACTATTAAACTTTATTTTCCATTAATTTTCTAACTCATTGACATAATGTTCTTAGGTTTGTAACCTTACCATTGTTAACATTTCTTATCTCATTCTGTGGCCTGGAAGAGACTGTATTTATAGAAAAATTTTGGAGTAACTGCAAATATATAATTTCCATCTCTAAGGAAAGATTTCAACATTTAAGAATAAGATAAAATTACATTATTGTGTTCTTTTCACCAATAAAAATGAAGTCGTTGGCCTTGCTAGATTAAACTGAGTGCAATTTACCAATAAAAGGAGCTGTGGACTACCAAATCATATTAAGGTCCCATACTGGACCTGTTAATGTGATGGAGATTTGATGGTAAATATTTGCATTTACTTAAATTTTGTAAACACTTATCAAACACCTACCAGAACACCCATTGTGCTAGGTGCTAGGGCGTGAGGTAGGAGTAGGTGTGAGCATGCCTTCAAGAGACCTCAGTCCACCAAGAGACGCATGTTGGTAGAAGCTGCAGGCAGCAAGGCATTCTGGGAGATGATTCAGACACAGACAAAGCAAGAGCAACCAGTGATGGTGGTCCTCACCCTGACATGCGCAGCAAGGTTGCACTTCTTTGTTTCTATTTAATGACAGTGACTCTGCTAATGTTAGTGAATTCTACCTGGGCCTGTGGCTAAAGTCCAGGGGATCAGGAGACTGGAGGGGCTTGCCCTTAACTCACATAAAAATGAGCAGGCATGTAGTGTATTTTGTACAAATGTGAGATTTGGGATTCAGAGCAGACTATTTTAAATTTGCTTTTCTGCAAAATTAATCTGATTCAAATATTCACTTTAAAATTAAATTAAAAGTAAAAGAGATGCTGGTGGAAAATTGCTTTTCTTTTCATATTATAGTAGCAGGCATTCTCATTTTATGGAAACAAAAGATACAGGGAATATTTGAGAAAGATTTTCGCAAAACATAAAAATGAGCTTGCTCTTTTCTTCCTTTTTTTTAACTCATCACTTTCGGAAAGAATATAATCAAATTATCCGCAAATGGTTTTCATGTCTTAGAATTTGGGATTACCTTGTGCTTTCTACTACTCAAAGCAAAAACCACCCTTTTATATCAGGTTTATTGAAATTATATTGCTAATTATTAGAATGATATCCATGAAAGCAAAGCATTGTAACTCGCTCCTTTCTCCCCTTTGCACAGTGGGAAACCTTTTGTCTTATTTATGCTGCATAAAAGGAGAAGAGAAATTTTCAGATTGCAGTGGAACCTGGCACTTTCGTTTGAAGATAACTTCAAAGAATATTGATAAGATGCCTTAATAGCTAAGTAGAATCTCAGCATAAGAGCTAAATTTTTTAGATCCTAATATATATAGTTACTTGTCATTTAAGAAGGAAGAAGATTGAGAGAAAGAGAGAGAGCAAGAATGTGACAGCTAGAGGTGGAGAAAGAGAGAGGTTCAGAGAGGCGAATAATTGTCTTTTTGTACTAAGAGCGGACTCAGGTCAGAATCCCTTTGCTCTAAATCAGTGATTCTCAAAGCATGGTTCCTAAACCATCAACTTTTGCATCTCAGCATCCCCTGAGAACTTCTTAGACATGCAGATATCACCCTGTCCCAGATTTGCTGAATCATAAACTTTGGGGGTGGTACCCAGCAATCTGTGTGCTAACCAGCCCTGCAGGTAATTCTGAAGGGCCTTCAAATTTGAGAACCACTGCTCTGGACGCTACCACCTGGCACCTATTTATGACCTGTGAAATAAAGTATTTCACTTCCAGGTACCTACAACAGGGACCACTGTCATCACTACTGTCAACTTGACGGGAGATCTGGAAGAGGAGGCTGAGTGTCCATGTTGAAAGTCACTCAGAGTCATCTCACTCAAAGAGTTGATGGTTTATGAAATGGTAGCCACCGTGTCCCACATGCAGTGTGACACAGGACTGGATGTGATGCACTGGCATTCTGTATGGTTATCCGGATGATTTGAGTTTCTAACAAAAACTTGCAAATCTCCAATTTAATTTCCACTTCCTCGAGTCTAATGTATAGAAGCAGACCATGTCTAAGAATGAGCATTGACTGGAAGGAGAACACAGACCAACACACAGCAGTACTGGCGAGGAACGTGGGAACGGAAGAGCAGGCTGTGCGCACGGCTCTCAGCTCGTTGATAACAGGAATCCTAAAAGGTCCAGATTTGGTGCCACTACCTTGATGGGACAAATAGGGGAGAGACAGGTGTTCCCAAACCTGGCCAGTCTTATGGAGTAAAGAGTCAGCTACTTACCTCATTATGTGCTAATATCACAAATGAGAAGACTTCTGCTGAAAGGCATGTGTTGTGACTGTTTTATGCTCCGCGTGGAATATGTCGCTCTCTCGTTTTGCTGTACTTCGAAGATTTGACGTAAACTGTCATGAATGTGACTGAAGCTTTGTGATCAGTAAGAATGTGATCATTTCTATCTAATAGAGGATCCACTTGAACTTCGTTATTTCTGAATGTCTACAAACCTAAGACCACACTGATGTTCAAATTCATTCATTCTTGGCAAAATGATGACTGAATTTCTGAGGAAAATGGCTTCTAAAGTCTCCAAGGTTTGGAGCATTTCTTGGATATTAAATAACTGTTATAACTCATTGATCAGTTCATTGCAAAAGTCTTAGGCACAACAATATTGAATTTTACTCCCGGTGTACATCATTTTAATGAAGATACAGGTAAATGTGTTTATAGAATGTAATCTGAATATACAGAAAGCTGAATGACAATGTCAGAATGACAAACCTCAAAGATGTTTTGGACACAAATTGTGAGGAGGGCTATTACTATCTTAATACTAGTGTAATAATAGATGTTTTGCACTTGATATGAATCATAAAGATAATTATGAATCATAAAGATAATTATTTCCAAAAAACTGGGCAGTCATTGTAATTTAGAAAGCTTTTTCATGTCCAGTTAATTTTACAATGGAAGACTTTTCTACTTGCTGCAAGTTGCAAGTCAAAAGAGTAAATTCTACTAGGTCATGTGCAATTAGTTTTCAAGTGGCATGAAGCAAAACCATAGGTCCTTTTTAGAGACAATATATGTAATCAGAGAAAATATTGCTAATTTAAGTCTATTCTCTCATGTTATGTACACAGAAAATGAAGGGCAAAGGCATGGAAAACACTGTTATCATCCCAAATTCAAAGGGGATTGTTTTCTAGAGAACTATTGCAATTAAAGAGGGGGCAAAAAAAAAAAACCCTCCTACAGGCCACGTATTTCTATGAGCTCAAAAGCTCTTTATAAGCTTTGGAATTAGAATGCCTTGTAAGTTTTTCACAAAATGTGTTTCTATAATTGTTGTATCCTACGTGTGTAACATCCAGTCACTTGTTCAATGGTTCTTTTTATATATTTCAAGTTCTTTATGCCTGATTCACTGTGTCTTCATGAAGAAGTTTCTTATCAAATCCAATGTGATTGGACACCAGCTACTGTGAAGGATGCTGGTGGTGCAGTTTTTAAGTAAAACCCGTATTGAGAATTCTACCATCACATTCACACTGGCCTCTATTGTATGAAGAATCTCGTTGTTCATTAGATAAGTTGGAAACTCACTCATAACTAGTGTCAAATCGTTGCAGTTAAGGATTGAATTAAGTAAGCCCTCTGGTGCAGTGCTAAATGACCAAAATATTTTTCCCAATAAGTTTATATAACCAGGGATAATCATGGCATAAAAGGGTTCTAATGTTTCTAAGAGCAGATTCTGTAATAAAGATGGTTAGAATTCATACAGAAATATTTCATAAAAAGCTATGTACAACTGCATACATACAGCATTAAATTTTGGAGCTTTTATCTGAGTTAAGAGATTTAATCTTGTTTTAACTTAGAGGAAATGATGACCATGTGATTTCAATTTGTTATTAGACTAGTAAGTATGGCATTTACATAAATAAGTCATTGCTTTCTTGGTCATGATATCAAAAGCTTTTAGGAATATTTTAAGTGCATTGATACATTTAAAAATGTCTGTTTTCTGCTTTTCATTTACCGAAATGATTCTGATGAATTACAGAATCAACTGCCAAGGATTTTAATTTAAAAATCCATTTTTATTTCAGCGCTGTTTATTCTAACTTTTATCGAAATGGAGCCAAAGTAACTGGGAAAGGTCAATACTCGACTCCTTCCAGGGAAATGAGATTCAAATGCGAGCTGGTTTCTAAGATGACATGAGACTCCCAGGCTAAAATCCCCCCACAAAAGACCAGCTACTTTAGCAGTGAGGATGTTTGCTTTGAGTAATCTATTGTCACAGGCTAGGTTCTTGGCCAAACCTCCTCCCAGAGCCCGCCCTGAAGAAAGGTCACCCAGCTTCATGGTCAGTGGCCAGGGATGGATGGAAGTTCTCAAAGCACCCTTTGGCCGTGACCTGGAG